TGTCAAGTGAAACCTGGGGTCTGGGAATGTGAAACTGATCACATGGGTGTGGCCTGGACCCAAAGGTCCTTTCACACCAGCCTCCAGCCACAGCAGCCCTTCCCCACGTGTTGTCTACCTTTCAGCCCTTTGAGTGCTATGCTCTGGGGTCTACCATGCTATTGCACTCACAGGTTTTCCAGGGCCTAGGTCTGAAGTTGGGCAAGGCCTGCCCGCTGTCCTGGGCAGGAGTCAAGAAGAGGACGGGTGGGATCGTAGGGTGTAGGCTTCAGGGTAGATCTGGTAGAATTCTCATGACTAACCCTTGCCAAGCCAGGAGCCCATCCACAAAAATCTCAAGGATGGACTCACTTGCCTCTTGCAGTCATCCTGCTCTGTGGGAATCTCACTATCCACACATCCTCTGAGGGCTGAGAGCAGGGAGCTCTGGTACATTTGGTTGGTTGATGCTGTCAGCAGCAGGGAAGTGGCCATCGGCATTCAGACCCAGGCAGCCGCTTCCAGATTTAATGATCTGTTGTCTCTGAGGTCAGCTTCTAGGTTACAACCAGGGCTGTTTCTGCTCCTCTGCAGACACCACTTAGGCTAAATACAGAAATACAGATGTTGTGCACATCAGGGCTTGACACACACGAATAGTTAATTGACTTTGAAAAGGAGACACCATCTTCAGTACACTTTGTTCGTACTCCTTGTTATTTTAATTTGTTCCAGCAATTAATTGCATTCCTGTTGACATGGAAGAAACCTTAGGAACCCATGCCTAAGTACCTGGAATCGCCGCTTTCTGTAATTTACACATGAACTAGATAAACCTGGTGAGCCAGGGTATGGTGAAGGTGGGAGGGGGCTTATCCCGCTGGGTTTTGGAGCAGTATCTGTCATACCTTGATTTTGTGTGTGTGTGTAATATGTGTGACTGTGTTGTGCATGTGTGGTCTATGTGCGTGTCTGTATCTGTGGATGGTATGTGCATGTCTCTGTGTGTATGGGTATGTATGTGTATGCATGTCTCTGTATATATGCGTGTACCTCTGTGTATATGTATATGTGTCTGTGTTTCTATGTGTTTGATGTGTGCCTGTGTTTATATATGTGATGTGTAGGCACACGTCTATCTGAGGACCAGAGGACAACCTTGGGTGTCATTTCTTAGGAGCCATCCATTTTGCTTTCTGAGTCTCAGTGACCAGCCTCACTAGTTCTAGTTGTCTGACCAGCAAGCCCCAGGGGTCCTGCCTGTCCCCTACTTCCTCAGTTTTGGGGTTACAAGTACACACCACCATGCCTGTTTTTGGTTTTTATTTTGTTTTATTTTATTTAAATTAGAAACAAACTTCTTTTACATGTCAATCCCAGTTCCCTCTCCCTCCCCTTGATTTTGATTTAACTTGGGTTTTGTGGCTCCAACTTAGGCCGCTAGACCAACTGTTAAAGAAATCTCAGCTTCTGAATGAAGGAGTGGTCCAGAGGTAGAAAGCCCTTGTTTGGGTTCTGTTTCTTTTTCCTCCTTTTTTTCGGGGGGGGGGGTGCCGGGGGGGGGTTTGAGACAGGGTTTCTCTGTGGCTTTGGAGGCTGTCCTGGAACTAGCTCTTGTAGACCAGGTTGGTCTCGAACTCATGGAGATCCGCCTGCATTCTGCCTCCTGAGTGCTGGGATTAAAGGCGTGCGCCGCCACCACCACCTGGCTCTTTCAAATGTTTTTCAGGCCAGGATGGTTGTAGAGTGAGGTGGGGGTGTGAAGGAACTTCTGACTCTCAGTTTTGCTGACACACAAGTAGAGCTTTATTTTAGCGGTGTCCGTTCCTTGTGAGACAAGGACGAGTAGAGTAGACAGTGTAGAGAGGCAGCTGTGTAACCTGACTCGCTGTGATCTACCTAACAGGTTGACCAGCTGGCCCTGCTCCAGTCCTCTGTCGGGGGCCCCCTTTCCTCACCCCCTCCTCTGTGTCCCCTTAGATCAGTGATTCTCAAGTTTGCAGCCCAGGCTGCAAGGGCAGGTTCACATTTCTTCCAGGATTATATCACCCCTATGCCTGCTTCCTGATATTGTGCCCTTACTTGGAACTTACACACACAGTCCTTTCTTGGGTTTCAGACCATCCTCAGTAAGCTTGGGTAGATGTGACTGTTAATTTTAGAGTCTTTTAAAAAGTTGTTTTGAACAAGATTATCTTCATACGGTTCAAAAATGTTATAGTTGGGGCTGGAGAGATGACCCAGTGGTACAGTGTTGCTGTATAAGCAGATGAGCAGAGTTTGGGCCCCAGTGCCCATGTGAATAGCTGACCATGGTGGTGTGTGTGCATTTGTAATCACAGTACTGGGAAGGCAGAGCCAGGAGGATCCCTGAGGCCATTGGTCAGCCTAGTTGAATTATTGAACCATGGATCCCAGTGAAAGAACTTGACCCTAAAAACGAGATGGCTGGCTTCTGAGGAACACCTGAGATTGATCTCTGGTCATCACATGCACAGAACACACATGAACACATACGCAGGCACACACACACACACACATGCACGCACACATGCATACACACGGGTGCACCTTATAAAAACGTACAAGGGAGACAGTCTTTACTGGTCCCCAACAGCCTAGTTCCCATTTCCTCTTTTTCAAAGGCAGATGTTATAACAGTATCTCATTGAGTAGTCTTCTAGAATATCTTTCTGCATGTATAGTAATATACACAGAAATGTACCTGGTGCTGTGGGACACCTACTTCTAGGACCACAGACTAGGTTAGACTAGGGTAATAAGGTGGTACGTCTGTAGGGCCCTGAGTCCCTCTAACTTCAGGGACTACAGTTTACTAACGTGTTGTCTGGCCCTACTTAACTTCCTGTTACAGCTTCAGTGTTATCCAATCTCTCCCCTGGAGAAGGAGAGGAACACACACACCTTTGCGTTTTTCTGTGTTATTTTGAAAGTGTCTCATGTGTCTAAAATCAAGGTGCCTCAAGAACTCACAGCAGCTGTGATTGCCTGCACAAGACTCATGCAAGTTCTAGTCAGTCAAAATTCCAACACGGGTAGGGGAAGGGCTCACAAGCCTGAGATCAAGGTGTCATTTGATGTCTCCGAGACATGGGCTAGCTGATAGCACCTAGATCTTCTACTTTTCCGTAAGCTTTTCTTCACCCATGGTCTTGAGACTTGCCAGTGGCTACAAAGACTGTGAGGAGGTATTTTAGCTTCTTGGGTGGAAGCAGACCCCGTGCCTCATTCTGCTTTGAAACTTCCATGTGTGTGGTGCCAGCTGCTCTGCTCTGTTTTCTCTCCCAAGGTGTGTTCTCAGCCTAATGGCTTTTAAAAAAGTGTATTCATTTTTATTTTATGTGTAGGAATGTTTTCCTGTATGCATGTATGTATGTATGTGCCCCACATATGTGCCTAGTACCATAGGCACCATAGAGACCAGAAAAGGGCATAGGATCATCTGGAGCTGGAATACAGATGTTTATATATTGTATAATCTGGAAGACTTTCTCTTGTGACCAGGTGACTTTGGCAGGTGCTCTGTTCCACCCCTTACTGTGTTCTTAGATAAAGTGTCCCCTCCTGAGTCTCACTTGCAGCACCAGTAAGAAAGGGGTACAGAGTGAGTGCTGGGAACCGAACCTGGGTCCCCTATAAGAGCAGCTGAGCCATCTCTTTAGCCCCAGCCCAATAGCTTTTAATAAGTTTCCATCTCTCATCAGACCTGCCCACACCTTGGAGAACCCCCGGGGTGTGCTTCTGGAGTGGCTTGTAGGTTGCCTACCGTTAAGGTGGATCTCCAAAGGCTGTATCTACTACCTAACGTGTTCAGCTGTTGAGAAAAGAGTGGAATTCTCCATGTGGTTCAGCTTTCCAAGCTTTCAAGCATCAGTGTTTCTTGTTCTGTCCCCAAATTCTTGTTCCTGTTTTATGCACATAATGACATATTGCTGCTGCAACTGCCTGTTTGTTCCTCAGTGACGTGCGTGAGCATGTTTGGAGGGAAGTTCATACCCAGCAAGATTGTCAGAAATTTGAGTATTTGTTCCTCAATAACCGTAGCAGGTGGGAGGGACAATGAGAACATTGAAGACAGGGAGACTTTGTTCCCTAGAGAACTTATTGGATTCCAGGAGCCAGTTTTTCTTGTTTTTAGCTTTTTCTCACCTTGTCTGGATCAAATTCAAGATGGATCAGTAGGGATGGGCTCATTATTAGTCATGGGGGAAGAAGTCTGGTGTCCAAATCTGCATTTATAATTTTTAGCACAGAAGATGCTTTGATATCACCTTGGGAATTTACTGATTTGCTGTCTATCCACACCCTCCACCCAAGAGCAGAAACCTTGTGTGTCTTCTTCTCTTTGGTGGCCCTGGTGTTAGAACAATATGTGGGAACATACAGGGCAACTCAGTAAATGTGTTGCCTAGGTAACCAGAACCCCAGTTCTCTTCATTGTGGTCCTTTTTGAAAATTGCCTCAATACTTTCAGGGTGAATGGTGAGACCACCCCATCATAGCCTCAAGGTGAATTTCAAGTCTGAGCTGCTCCGATAGAGTTAGAGGAGAGGAGAGATGGAGTTATAGGAAAAGATGTTCAGTTTGTAGAAGGTCTAGGTTTGAATCTTGGCTCTTGGGTTAATGTATTGGATGGGGATGGGTATGATTTCTCTATCTACAGTAGTTGTGACAATTATACCATCCTGTATACAATTAAAATCTTCAGATGGGGAATGTATGGAAAGTGTGTTTTAGACTATAAAATGTTTGTAAATGTTATCACTGCAGTAGCACGGGGCGGGGGGTTGGGGGATTTGAGCCCACAATGTTGTCCATGCCCAAACCCTACCAGGACCTAGAAAAAAGTACTCCCTCCTCAGGCCTAGATTCCACCTCTGTGCTACTGGTAAACACATGGTCATCAATGATGAGCCCTCTGTCATCCTCCTTTGGAACTGGCCTTCAAGAGCTGTATTCATACCAACAGCTGCCTGACTATGTGTTCCTCTCTTCCCCAGGCGGCTGCTGAAGAGTGAGCTTGGATCATTCATTACAGACTATTTCCAGGTAAGCTCGGAGGGGCCCAGCCCCCATCATACTTGCGTTTGACAGACCAACAGGGGTGTCAATACTGCACCTTTGGATGTTCCTTTAGTGCCTACAGTTATATGCGCTGCAGTGGTTACAGGGGCTGCCGGGCCAGCGTGGTCACTTATGTTAGTGGAGATCAGATTCCTTGCAGTCAGTCTCCGGACTCATTTATATCGTTAAAAATTGTTGCTCATTTGGGTTCTGTCTGTCCTTACCATCGAGGAGCTGGGCCTCAGAGGCTTTACAGTGTGTATTAATTAACCGATCAATTACAGAAGAATACATGACACTTCTATGAGAAAAAGAGTTCGCAGGATAAAACAGGAGTGAGAAGAGTACTGTTCTTGTATATGTGCAAGCATCTGCATGAGCTGCTTTCTAGAAGGCAATTCTTTCTCCTGTCTGCTTCTTATTTTGTAGGTTGTGTTTTGCATGCCACATTGTCTTGGGATAGCTGCACTGTCCAGCCTGGGGACTCAAGAGGGAAAAGGCAGAATCCGCTTACTGTTGGTTTTTTAAATTTTTTTTCAAGACAGGATTTCTTTGTATTGTTTTGGAGGCTGTCCTGGAACTCGCTCTGTAGACCAGGCTGGCCTCAAACTCACAGAGATCCGCCTGCCTCTGCCTCCCGAGTGCTGGGATTAAAGGCGTGTGCCACCAACGCTTGACCCACTTACTGTTACTGAAGACAGTTTTCACCAGAGGACACTGAGTCCCACCACTGTCCGAAACCCCTCCTGTCCTATGTGTGATATTTAGTTGGGTTAGGTATATGTGTCGTTTAGACTGATTATTTCTTGTCACTATGCCCCCTAGTCTGTTCCATTGAAGGCAGGATTGGATTTGACAGTCACCCTTCCCTTCTGCATACATATTGTTGTGAGGCTAAGAATTCAAGGTCCTGGGGATCTACAAAGAACAGCTTCTAAGCCAGTCACAAGCTGCTTCCTTAACTATAACCAACAGTGTCTGGGAGCTGCTGGGTGACAAGCAGTGACCAACTAGGTGGCAGTTCCATGAAATCAGTCTCTACTTCTCACTCATTTGCTAGCGTGGGATTGGCAAGCTGCTTTGTTTCTGTCTGTCTTGGTTTCCTTGTTCGTAAAAGAGAACCTCATTTTGTGCTTTGCATGAAATAATAGTGGTGGAGAGCTCAATGCTAGCTGTATCAGGCAGCATAGCATATTAGTCAAGACCATGGGCCATTGAGGCAGGATACCCAGGTTCAGGGCCCAACAGCCGTTTACTGAATGTGTTACCCATACACAGGTTGCATTGCTGAATCCCTGTTTTAGTTTCCTCTTCTCCATATCCATGACCTAACCTTTAGAACATGCCCATATAGTGTTAATGTAGGGACTAAATACATTGTTATCTATAAAGTCCTTACTGCTAGCACAAAGTAAGACCGAAATTGTGTTAAATTTATGCTGGTTCTTATTTATTATTCTGAAGTGCAAATGTAAAAATACTTATGATCTTGGTGGCAGGTTGTTTCATATTATTTCATGTCCAAGGAGAGCACAATTTTAAAACTGTTGCAAGAGATTTTGTTCCTAAAAACTCAGAAATCATTTTGTTTTTCTACTGAATTATCAAGAAATGTCAGACTCTTATGTCTACTTTAAAAGAATGACAGGTGTCAGTCAGCTTAACACCAGTGTATACACACATGTGCGTGTGCACGTACACTGTGTACACACACAAACACACACACACGCACGCGCACACACACACACACACACACACACACACACACACACACACACACACACACACACACACACACACACACCAAGAAACACTAACTCTAAAGCTGGACAGACCAAGATGGAAACCTGGAGTTCAGTAGGGTCATCCGCAGCTGTTTGGACCTTAGCTTCTGGTGTGTGTGTGTGTGTGTGTGTGTGTGTGTGTGTGTGTGTGTGTGTGTGTGTGTGTGTGTGTCCCAGCTTCTGGTGTGTGTGTGTGTGTGTCCCAGCTTCTGGTGTGTGTGTGTGTGTGTGTGTGTGTGGAGTGTGTGTGTGTGTGGGGGGGCATAGCTTAAAGACTCAGAATGTGATAATGAGTCCCAACTGTGAATCATCTCAATTGCTCTTCACTCAAAGGTCAGCCTCTACCTCTCTCTACCCCCTGTGGTCTCTATTGACTGATTTGAAGCTTGGCTACCGAGAAGTCCCCCCCCCCCAGTCCTAAAGAAACCTGCTGGGCCTGCCTGCTTTCTGCCTTGACATTTCAAATGAGACAGGGTCCTTGTGGTTTCAGTCCATTTGTAAATGTCAGCTGTCTTTTTGGCATTGAGGGTTACCCCTAGGCCTGTAGGAAGGGTGTGTCTGGGCAGGGACTTGTACACATGGGAAGCCCTGAGGTTTTGGTGGGTGGTTAATACTGCTTACAAAGATGCCGGATACTTCAAAACTATTAACCACATGTCATTTCCTATCAGGATCCTAACCAGAGAAGCTGTTTGCTGAACGCCCAGTCTTTTTCTTGGGGTCTGATGTGGGGACTGATTTTCAGAACTTAGAATCTGGGGATTTTCTTATTTAGGGTGCTAAACTGGAGGAAGCCTCTCCTAGACACTTTTCTACTGTAGGTTTTAAGTTTGTTTTGTTATTTTTAAGCTGTGGGTGTCCATCCCTCCCCTGGTGTTTTTAACCATTTGATCATCCCTCTCTTTTTGTAGAGTGTGTATTGGATGTTCTGCGCACACTTTTAGGGTGGGAGTGCTGGAATTAAAAGTATGTGCTACTACTGTCCTGCCATGTTTTAACTGTTTAAAAGTGGATGGATATTTTGTGTATATGTGTGCCTGAGAGCCACCATGTGCATGTCTTGTGTCTTCACAGAGGCCAGAAGAGAGCATCAGATACCCTGGAACTGGAGTTAGAAATGGTTTCGAAATGCCATGTGAATGCTGGAAGAGTAGCCAGTGCTCTTAACTGCTGAGCCATCTCTCCAGCCCCAGGAATATAAAAGACTTAAAGTAAAATGATAAAAGGAAAATTAAGAATTACTTACACAGGGGCTGGAGAGATGGGTCAATGGCAAGACTACTTACTGGCTGCTCTTTCAGTGAACCCAAGTTCAGTTTCCAGCACCTACGTGGTAGCTCACAGCCATCTGCAACTCCAGTCCCATGGGATCCAATGTCTTCTTACAGCTTCTGTAGGTACCATACACGTAACTTTTTAAAAATTACTTTTATATGTTTACTGTAAGTTTTAAAAGCATAGTACTTTCACCCTATATGTTCACTTCTCAGGAAGACTTAGTTTCTTGAACCCTTTGCAAGCATTTACACTTTTAATACATAGTTAGAAAGTTTCAGCAAAAACTCGTATGTCAGTCGGGCATGGTGGCTCACGGCTTTGGTCCTAACACTCAGGAGGCAGAGGCAGGTGGATCTCTGTGAGTTCCAGGCCAGCTGGTCTACAAAGCGATTTCCAGGACAGCCAGGGCTATTACACAGAGAAATTCTGTCTTGGAAAAAACAAAACAAAACAAAAAAATCTTGTATGTCCCTCAGTATACATAGACATGTACATATATGCAACACAGGTGTGTTCCATGCTCATATAGAACATTTCACTTTCTTCAGGAAGCTCTACACCCCTTTCCTGAGTCCATCCTCTCTAAAAGCCACTACTCATAATTTGCTCCATAGTCAGCCATGCCTCTTAAGAAAGTCCATGTTCACTTGTCACATGGTGTCATTCGGCACATTTTTGAGCTTCATCTATGTGCGTCTATTTTATTCTCTATCACTGAGTACTTGGTTGTCCAAATAAACTGCATCTGTGCACCTGCCCCAGCACTAGGTGTGAGTTGTTCGGCTTGGCGTGTGACTGTGGTGCTGCAGTGTCGCACAAGCCACCCCTTTGACTGCAGCTTCTCATTGACTTCGTGTACAACTCATCTAGCTAAGCGGAGCACTGTTCATTCCACATGCTGAATGGGGCACCTGCTTTGCTTTTTATGGGACATAGTTCATTTCCCTAGGAGATTTGCAAGTCAGTCAGAAAGCTGTGAAACTGCAGGCTGTCACACTGTCGGTCTGACTGTACCAAGGATTCCCCCAGGAGCTGTGCAAATACCGTCCGCATCTTCATCATTAGAATGCAGTTCACTCTGGATAAAACATGTTGTACAGCCTCAAGTCCTGACACTGGCCAGACAGGCTTTTCTTTCTCATATGGAGTTGTTCCCACTTAATTTACATTGCCAGATGCAGCCTTTGGTCATCCCTATGATCTTCGTTCATCAGGAAGCACTATGTTCTCTCTCTCTCTCTCTCTCTCTCTCTCTCTCTCTCTCTCTCTCTCTCTCTCTCTCTCTCTCTCTCTCTCTCTCCTCTCTCCCACTCTCCATGTTCTTCTCTCTCTACCCCCCTCTTCTCGTTTCTCATGTCTGTCTCCCCCTCTGGCTCTCCCGCCGCTGAAATAAACTGTGGCTTGTACTCTCATGGCTTGTGCTCCATCGCTCGGATCCCAGGTACATTGCACGGCCTTTTCGCCTTTTTTCTAAATTTTAGACTTTTATAAAAGAACAGCACTTCTCTTTTTTTGTAGAGTGTGTATTGGATGTTCTGTCTACATTTTTAGGATGGGCAGGAGGATTGTCTACCATACATACCAGAAGTGGCATTTGTTGACCTTACAATGGCAATGAATAAAAGAGATTGGGCTTAGAAAGTGTTTCCCTTTTAAATTTTTCCTTTAGCCCTTGTGTTCATGCTAGAGAAAGTCTTGGGAAGCATTCTTCAGGACTTGGCAGTCTTCTTATTTAAGGAAGAGGGAGCTGGCCTTGAACTTGGTATCCTGAGCTAGGGATATACATGGCTGGCTAAGGTCCTGCAGCATTCTTTTTTTTTTTTTTGCGGCATTCTTTTGTTTGCTGTGAGTTAACTTCTGAGTGGTTTTTCCATGCTTGCCGAGTGGTTCCTTTTAACACATAAGGACAATTTTGACAAGTGG